TATATATATATTCTCAAGAAATTGCACAAATTAGAAACTCAAGCCAACAAGAAAGCAGCATTATTATGTAAAACTTCTTTTGTACATGTTTACCCCCTTACTGTCAATAGCTTAGGTCTTGGGTTGACCTATCAACTAAGGTCTGTCTACTTCTGGTGTCCCTACCAACCATTACACTTCTTGGAAGTAAAATAGTAGCTGGTTGTTAACGTGTGTTCCTGACACTTTAATGATGTGATGGCATGTCTTGCCTAGTAACCAACAGCCAATCATCTTTTACAAATTGTGGCAGTTGCTATGGTTATCAAAAGTGAGTGGAGCATGGTTGACAGTTCAATTTTCTAATGTGGGAAAAGTGTTTGGTCTCTGAAATGATGAGTGGGTTTAGTTATTAAGTTCTTTTTATTAATCTCAATATATTACCATTACAAGTGTATTTTTAATCTTAATCTATAGGTCCCTCATACTGTATAATGATAAGTAAGAGTAAGTTAGTAAAGGCCATAATATTAAAAAGTTATTGGGGGATATTTAGATATCAAAATTTTAAACATTAGCATTTGGCAAAATTTTTAGGATAAAATGCTTGTGTATTATCAGTCTAACTGGAGACAATTTGATTTATTTATAATTAAGTACTGTTGCAGTACAGTATATACTTTTCATAATCGATCATGCAAGTAGAAAAAGTGAAGGTCATGATGGCTTAATAAACTAAATCGAAGTTATAATTCCGAGTGTCTCACAAAACATTAATGCCAAACCTAGATGCAAATGTATTTCTCATAAGTATTCATCTCTTTTTGTATGTGTATTTATGAAGCAATTGTTACTTTTCCCATGTCACAAAAGATAGTTCATGGTCAGCTACTGTACTCTCTAACAATACAGTGGATTTATTTTACCTCAAGAGTCTTGCCATGTTTAGGTTTATTTATGTAATTTTTCAGCATAGATTACTTAGTTAATATCCTTATGTGTTCTTATCTTTATTTTATTCCATTAGTCTCTAGTTTACTTGCATAAATTTGCAATGTCTGTTAGTTAAACTAATACAGTAGTATCTTTATTAATGCTCTCTCACTCTGTTTTTTCTTGATTGTAAATATATAATGATATATGGAACCTTTTTCTTAAGTATTCAGAACTTTGTGCTCATATCTGTTTAAGCCCTTTTTATGTACACGATTGAGACAAACATGTGTAAACTGATCAAACTTTCATGAGTATCACGTGTAGCTTGTTTATCAACTGTTATACTGTATTTTGTACTTTCCTTTTGAGAATAAAAGGAGAATACAGTCACCAAATACATGCATTAATTTATATCTCATTTGATTCAATAGCCAATACTTTAGCTATCCTTTGTAATGGTTTTCTATTCCTTAATCCATCCCACACAAAAGTTGTAGAGAAATATATAAACTAATACTACTGTATATTGTAATGGTCATATTTCTTGATTTACACATACAGTAAGTCCTTGCTTAACGTCGGGGTTACGTTCCTGAAAACGCGACGTTATACAAGACAACGTTGAGCTGATCAATTTTCCCCATAAGAAATAGATAAAATATGGGAGTTACGTTTCCGAGCCTCCCTTTGCCCCATGAAATACATTACAGTGATCCCTCGGTTAACGAGATTTCGGTTAACGATTTACCTTCCATAAGATTCTTAACTTCGGTTAACGAGCAATCCCTCGATTAACGAGTTTTTTACAAGCCGACCTCATCATGTTTTCGCTTGCATTTGGCGGTCCACCAGCTGTAGTATTAGTCCGCCAATACAGTCATTGGTTTTAGGGCTTAAATTCCTTACTATTTTAGTAAATATCAAGAAGTTTTTACTATTCAATAATTTTAAAAGTTTAATATTAATATTTTTTTGTCATTTTAACAATTATTGAACATAATTGAAGGTAAAGAAACTAGTTTCTGGCGCACCATCCAGCCTGTTAACACACAAACAGGTCTCTCTCTCTTTTCAGTGGAGATAACATATTGCTTGAGACTCTCTTCAACTAAATGCTTTTTTCTGTGTTTCCAAGCAAATTATTGATCATTTTGAAATTTATTTTACATATTGACAATATATAATGCAGTGCAGTGTGGATTTAAAGAAAATAATCTTGAATTACACCAAGAGAACATGGGGCATCTTCTCTTCCACCCCAATGCCTTCTCTTCTCCCTTCTCCTTCACCCCCATTCTAATTCCCATCATCATCATCATCCAGGAGCCTTCTACATACACACCTCAAAGTAAGTGTACTTTTCTACTTTTTTTTTTTTGAATAGGCAATTTTCGGTGAGCTGGAACCAATTACCCAAAAACCCATTGAAACAATGGTTTCGGTTAACGAGCAACCTGCTGGAACGGATTGTGCTCGTTAACCGAGGGACCACTGTACATATACAGAAAATCATTGCCATTTCTGTAGAAAATAGTGCATGCATATACAACTACTAAGTTTGTATTGGTACTCACCGATGGGCGGAGGTGGTAGAGCGAGTGTGTGGTGGATAGTGAAGCAGAGGTGGTAGAGCGAGTGTGTGGTGGATAGTGAAGCGGAGGAGGCGGGAGCGGAGGTGGTAGAGCGAGTGTGTGGTGGATAGTGAAGCGGAGGAGGCGGGAGCGGAGGTGGTAGAGCGAGTGTGTGGTGGATAGTGAAGCGGAGGAGGCGGGAGCGGAGGAGGGCAGAAGAGGAGGAGTGTGGTGAGTCACTGAGACTCTGCGGCTGCCTCCTCCTGCGCTGACTGGGGTTCCTACGCCGCTGCTTGCTCCTCCTCCGTTGATGTTTGCTCCTTCTCCATTGTTGTTTGCTCCTCCTTGACTGCTGTGTGCTCCTCCTTGGCTGCCGGCTGTTGTGAAGAAGCTGCTTCTGCCGTCCCACGACGAAAAAATTAATCCAGTGTTGACTGCTTGGTGCTTCTTTTCTTCTCCTTATAGATCTCAGTGTAACAACAAAGACTGTCATCAATGTTTTGTTGAATCTTTGAGCTACGTTCTCTGTTCGGTTTGTCATCTATCAGGATTTGCATTTCTTGTTGGATCATGTTCAACGCTTCTGCCATCCTCTTGGAAGTTAGCGTTCGTTGAGGTTCTTCTTCATTGTCATCGTCGTCTTCAACGGGACTGTGTTCTGTTAACAGTTGCAGATCTTCGTTTTAAGAAAATCAAAACGACACTGCACAAGTTAGGAAATTTAGGTAAGGTTAGGTCAAGTTCAATATCAGGCAAATAGTACCTCCAGAAATTTTGATTCAAATCCATAAGTTATTACTGATGCTAACTGTCTCCCCCACATTCTTGATAGGGCGGCAAATTAATTCAGGGCAGGATGCAAATGCATTACAGGAGGATCTAAATAAACTGCAGGGGTGGTCTGAAAAATGGCAAATGAAATTCAACACCAGCAAGTGCAGCATACTTAATATTGGAAGAACAAATACTTTTAATGTATACAGCCTTAACAACATCAACCTAGAGAAGTCGACTTGTGAAAGAGACCTAGGGGTACTTGTAAGCCCGGACCTACGGCCTAGAAAACAGTGCGTTAATGTTCGAAATAAGGCAAACAGAGTATTGGGTTTTATATCTAGAAGTGTAAGTAACAAGAGTGCAGAGGTCTTATTGCAACTATATCTTGCGCTAGTCAGGCGCACCTCGATTATGCGGTTCAGTTCTGGTGCCCTTATTATAGAATGGATATAAATTCACTAGAGTCGGTGCAGCGGAGAATGACAAAAATGATTCCGGGACTTAGAAACCTTCCATATCAGGATAGGTTAAAGAAACTTAACTTGCATTCCCTAGAAAGACGAAGAGTGCGGGGAGATATGATAGAAGTATTTAAGTGGGTGAAAGGAATAAATAAAGGGGATATAGATAAAGTTCTTATAATATCCGAGCAGGATAGGACTCGGAGCAACGGATTCAAGTTGGATAAGTTTAGGTTTAGGAGGGAGATAGGAAAAAACTGGTTCACAAATAGGGTGGTGGACGAGTGGAACAAGCTTAGCAACTTTGTAGTAAGTGCGGGAACTCTGGAAAGTTTCAAAAGGAGGCTAGATAGATTCATGGATGATAGAGAGTGGTAGTAACTCTCGACAGGAGCTGCCATGCACAGGCCAACCGGCCTATTGCAGACTCCTTATTTTCTTATGTTCTTATGTACCCATGATATTTAAAAGTGTTTACCTAAATTTAGTTATAATATAGTATGACTTTTATTTTAAAGAAAAAAGAAAGGTTGCCATCAAGAATGATATGATTCTGGGATATTCATCTCAAAATTTGTTTAATTCTTTAATTTTACTATCAGCACAATCGGTGTGGGTGGTGTTAAAGTGGCTTCATGACTCTTTGAATGAAAGTAGGTGAACACTGATTAACATACAGTACTTTTTTTCTCTTCTATTTTTTCTTTCTACTCTCATTTATTTTTTGTCCCACAGGCCCCATTGTGGGTTGATGATCTGTGTCCAGATGGGCTATTCCCCATAAAAAACCGAGAATGTCCACTCCAAAATTGCGCCATCATATCTTGTAATATTGTGAGTTATTGCACATCACCTTTTCTTAGCAGTGACAATACAGGAAAGCATTTGGTTAGCAACCATCATAAATCAAATCTTAGCCATCGCATAGTGGTATTTGGAGTTAATTTCTTAACATTGTAAAACTGATCGATCGTATATCAATCAATCATATAATGGCCACCACCTGTATGTGTCTTCTCTCCTCATTTTTCTTTTGTCTTTCTTGTTTCTCTTCTCGTCTGCTTCCACTCATCATTTACTTTTCTTATTGTTCTCCTCTTTACTCCTCTCCGCTCCCTCGCTAATGCTGCAGCAACACGTGACATGAAACTATATGCTACTCCAACAAAACAGATATGCACAAAGCATTAATGACTAAAATATCCCTCAGATAATACTGGCCAGGGGTAGAAACTGTATAATAATGACTGAATACGTTAGTGAAAAAATATGGGAATTCAGATTTTTCAAGTCATTTATTTTACACTTGAAACTATATAAATACTGTATCAAAGTTCTACCAATATCAAAACTTTACAGAAATAGAATATAAAATAACTACTGTGCTGGAAAGAATAAAGACTTGGAAATTTGTGTAAAAGTCACTTACGTCAAAACACATCAGGGTCACAATGACTGTAAGTGAGAGAGATGATGTTATTTTGAAAGAGGCATCACAGCCAAACAGACAGTGGTAACAGCCAAGACCCCGTGAGATTCCAAGCCTATGAATACTTTTCTAATACTTCTAAACTAATCTTATCCCAGTGAAGATGCAGCCCACTGTTGAATATCAGTTGGTATGCCTGGAAGCTGGCCCAATGCCTCTGTCACCTGGAGTGGTGTCATCATCAGTTGGACCAGCTGGTACTCACGCTGGGTTCCCCGGTTATTGTCCACTGATCGCACCAGTTCCAGGCACTGTTAGAAAATATATAAAACAGATCATGGTTCATAATGTAGAGAAAATCAATTTCCCTGTAACAGTTTTTTGTATGCTTCAGTTTCATTAAATATCTAGCTTATGTGCCAAAACTCATACAAGCATTTAATAAAAGGTATATGGACTATGTACATATTTTAAATAATTTATAATTTTTTTTTCACTTACAAGCTTTTCCTGCTATATTGCAAGGTACCCAAACCACAAACAGCCTCTCATCATTTGACATTATTCACTCACTCTTATTTTTGTATATAAGATGCATTTTGCTATGGTGCTCCCCATAACATGGCCCCAAGATATCTATTTGCTTTATCCATCACCACACACAACATAACCTCACCCATCAACAACTAGTCCATCCTCAAAAATCACTCAATGCCATGTACTGTACTTATCATTTGCATATGATGTTACTTCCTGGAAGTCTTTCACCATTTTTTTTTCCAATGTCTCCATCACCTGAGCAAACCCTGGCCAGCTGTCTGTTTGACATATTATTTTCTTATGTATCTCCTTATATCAACATTTCCTCTCCTTTACATCCTATTCATCTCAATTATTGCTCTCAAGCAAAATCATTCCCATTGTTTCTAATTTGTTTCTTCCTTTTGAATCTAGAACCCATGACCTACACTTCACACCCGTGTTGTAATGTTGGCTCTATGATTCCCCTATTACAGGTTGCACTTATAAAATCCAAAAATAAATTGAGTGGTGGTTATCCAGAAGTTGAATTATCCGTAAACCAGAATTGACCCTTCCATTGAACACACGTAATACACTTTATGTACTGTATGAGTATATACAATTACAGTATACTGTAGTCTCGATTTACGCGGATTTGGTTTACGCGTTTGGTCATTTACGCAGCACCTTGCCAGACCGACAATTTTTATTTACACGGTTCATTCCATCATTTAAGCGGGAAGCGGCGCGGGCAGGATGTGCACAAGGTCGCCCAGTCAACAAAACATTACCGAGTTCTTCACCCGCCACCCACCACAGCCGGCCCAAGTCAGTGATAGTGAGGATATGGACTTTGAGGGGTTTGACAAAGAGGCCCTGCAAGCCTCTGTGGTGGATAGTGATACAAGTGATACAGGTGAGGGCCAATAATCTGCCCTCTGTCTCGGAACCAACCCCCCATCCCCGTGTGCCCAGCCATCTTTTCTACTAACGTAAGTGCTAAAAAACCTAATATTATTGATATTTCTCTTAAACATTAATTGTGTGCATACCATCATAAAATTAAGATGTTATTTTTACTGCAACGTATGTATTGTGTCGGAAAAAGTGTAGTTAAGGGGACGGCCCAGTCTCTATTTCAATTAATCCCATATGTTCTGTTATTTCGTTTACGCGTTTCTCGTTTTATGCGGACCTCCACGGGTTCAATTGACCGCGTAAATGGAGATTATACTGTACCATACCTACACGATATAATACTTTTTAATTAATTAAAAAGTAGCACTACAGTTAAGTAACTACAAAACTAGTGTATGTGTTGTAATTCTATTTACCTTAAATACTGGTGCTGATTTGCTCATCTACACTGTAAGTTTTCCATTTCACAAATAACACACGGTCGCTGCTCCGTTATCACAATAGATTTTAAAAGCACCGAGCCTTTCACATGTTCCTTTATAAGAGCCCTGTCCTTCAAAATCAGTGTGCAGTTAAGGTAGTGAGACAGAGTTCACATGAAAGCGTGGCGAAAGTTCTCCTCATTCATAATGCTTAATTACTTTCATTTTCTGCTCTAGACCTATTACCGTACTGTATTTTATGGCATATAAGATGCACAGGCATGTAAGTTGCACAAGCATATAAGAAGCACTGCCATTTCAGCAGGGATTATTTAGGAAAAAACCCTTGTGTGTTTTTCCTCCTATAGCCACAGTTTTCTTATTATACACCGGTACTGTACCAGTAAATGTGAAGAATAAATAAAATTACAGTAATACGAATAAATAAATTAAAACAAAAAATACTATACAGGAATACCCCAGTTATCGCAAAGGATACATACCTAAAAGTCATTGCGAATAACGGGGCAATTTCCCCATAAATACAGCTCCTCCCTGACTTATGACCTACTCGACTTACGACCACCCGCACTTACGACCTGCCTCAGTCGTACCAAAATTTTATCAAATTAATTATTTTCGAGTCCCAACGTCAGTACACAGACAAAATTTTCGTTTGTAATTCACTTTAAAATGGATGGCAAGCTTAAAAGTGAGAGTTTTGTGGTGCTGAGAAGAAAAAGAGACACCCATTTTAGATTTGCTATGTATTATTTAAGCATTTTCGACTTACGACCATTTCGACTTACGACCTGGATTTGGGTCCCTAACCCCGTCGTAAGTCGGGGAGGAGCTGTATTAATGTAAATAAGGGGTGATGAGTTCCCAGCCAGCAACTCTTCCTGCATGTTTTTCGATATCAGTAATGCAGTATCTTTGTTAGCCGGAATCTCTCTTAATCAGAACTCTCCAATAGCCAGAGTTGAATTTTTCTCAGAAAATCGTTCCCAAAGCCGTAATTTTCCGGACAATTCCGGCTTTGGGAGACATTTTCCACGAGATACATTTTCTGGAAGATTCTGAGAAAATTTTCCCAGTACAGTACTCGGAAAATTCCAGAAAATTCTGGGGATGAGGTATATTTTTCTGGGCTCAAGAGAGGATGTAATGTGCAATTTCTGGAACTTCAGAGATCATTTTTCCATTACCCAAAAAATTCCGGGGATGAGGGATTTTTTTTCCAGCTTTGAGAGAGTCGTCTCGTTACCGGAAAATCTCTCATTCCCAGAAGTGCTCTGCACCAATTGTTCAAGCTAATGTAGTTATCACTGTATATTAATAGTTTCACTACACACAGGACATGGGAGGCTGGAGTGGCTGAGATCTCTTAATACTGCTCCATTCTCCTCCTCCCATGATCCATATGCTAACTACTGTGCACGTGCAAACTGTTTATTCCCTTATGATAATTCTTTTTTTTTTTTGCACACTCTGTATGAACAAATGTGTGTGTGTACTGTAAGAATAAACGAGAACAATTACATATATCTACCCAAAAATACAAGTTGAAAAATAACAATAATGCAGCTCACAGCTTGGCCCGGTAGGGGGAGGCCGAGTTCCTCGATGCTGCACCCATCCTTCCTCTCCCACAATCGGTGCACTAACTCCCACAGATGTAGGAAATATTTAATCTTTTTGTTTTTAATCTTATGATAAAAATTTTTTTGCACATTTTGTATGAACGATTGTGTGTGCATGTAACAGAGTTAAAACATTTTTTAAATAAATAAACAATAAAATTACGTTCGTATGTCCCCAAAAATACGAGTCGAAAAAATAACAACAACACAGCTTGGCCTGGTAGGGGGATGTAGCTACAGCGAGAAACTAACTTGATGACATGCCAAGTCCACACATACGTTCACTTCACACATATACACACACCTATGCTCTTTGTATTTATTATTTAATCGCAAGTATTTTTCGATAAACAGGTTCACTCCATATAGTGCAATAAAATAACTACAATACCATTAAAACAAAACAAAAGAAAACTGTGTGGGTGAGTGTGCATGCATGCATGTGTGTGTGTGACATTTGTAAATGAGTGTAAATATTTAAACTTGCATTTACCATTGCCAAATGAAGAATTCTAGAATGCTTGGCTTGTTTTTTCATGCCTCGGTTTAGGAATACAGGTACAGGCGTGGGTTGAGCATCTCCTGCACATGCTCCATGTTAATGGTCTCATTGAACTTAACTAATTTCTAAACCACATTGGTCTTCACATGCAGGAAAACTACTCTTGTGTGAAGTGGACCTTACAGCTGAATATGAGAGCAGTGGTTAGCCCACACGGTTTGAAATATTACTGTATTGTGCGGGTAATTTTTCTTTGCGAATAAGCAGGATATGCTTTGTGAATATCATATACAGGTGCTAAAACATCAATTGTGGATAATCATGGTTATAAATAGTGAGGTATTCCTGAACTGCCATTTGCTAGTGGATGCCAAAATTGTATGAAGCAACAAGGCTAAACCTTATGAAAATGGCCATTAAAACAATGATGATCATATTTGTTGCAGAGCAGGTATAATAACAGAACATATATGTTATGGCAATGAGAATGAATGATAAAGTAAGCGTGAAAAGTGGCCATAGAACAATGATGATGTTTCTAGTCCAGCTACCATTCATCAGGGTTGGAAAAGGTTTGTATGAGTAAAAATAAAAGATCCACACTACCTTCAACTGATCAAAAGCCTTGAATACAACCGGTCGCTCAAAACTCTGCATCGTTGACCTCTGCCGACTGAACTTTCGGTATTCATGAAACACCATTTCAAAATTAAATGGTTCCCCTTCATAGATTGTTGTCAAATGCTTCATGGCTATAATCTGTGCATAAAAATGTACATTCAGAAATACTGTGGAATATCATGTGGTAAATAATAATTACACTTGCTTGTTTTAAGGCTCACATGTGACACTGGTTTTTTGCATCACAGGTCAAATTTGAGATGACAAAAATATGAAAGTTGAAAAATAATACTAATAATTATATTCCTCACACCATTACAAAAAATGTTTTTTATATTTCATACTGAAGAAAACTTGGAATTTCCTTCTACAGAAGTATACCTATATGGAATATAAAGAATGCCATATACCAAGAACAAATTTATACCAGACAAAGCTGGAGAACAGAGATTCCCTGCAACATGTTGGTCTTCGCCTCTGAAGCAAACAATGACTGAGCTCGCATGAACATGTGGCCAGTCATCTGGGGTTGGTCACTGCTCAGTTGACTAACACACAGTAACTAAAGCATGACAAAAGACAAAGAGTAAAAAACACTTAGTAAGAAAGCACTGCATATACAGTATTTAGATATCAGAAAACTTTGAATGGCTACCAAATGATCACAGGAAGATGAACTCCCTTCTGTTAAAATTAATTAAGAAATAGATACAGATTTTTCTTTAGTGTAGTTCTAGATCGATTATTATGATTTTCAAGAGGATAAATTTATCTTATTTAGGCAGAACAAAATTTTGGAGTTACTGAAGGAGAGGGAGAGGGACCAGTTGAGTTTGGCCTAGATTTAATCATGATCTTACCAATAGGGTTTTCAAAGCTCTGACATCTTTGGTGGTATTGTGCAGTCTCTTTAGTACTTGAATAACCTCACTGTCTTTCAACAATACTGCCACATCTGAGTTCCATTTTCTAGAGAAATCCTGCAAATAAAATACATGTACCACAAAAATAAATCTGACAAACTAGCAGCTTAAAATAAAATCCTCCATTATTATCAGTCATTGAATTTGACAGTTTCTTTGGCCTTCTATATAAAACAAAGACATATGTAAAGCACAATATCCCATCTCTTACTCATTCTAGAGATAATTTCTGTAAGCATAAAGACTGTATATGTCTACAGTTTTTTGTGACAATAATAACTGCACTCAGCACAAATGTTGAAGGATTTTGCAGATAGCACTCAAAGGTCTACTAAGGGCTTACACCTGTAGTATATATTCAGTCAATATCCTCTAATCCAGTGATAAGCTATTGTGTCCACAAGACTGGGGCAGATGGTTACATACATACACAAAGAGATACCATCATTCCCCAAGCCTATTGTGGGGCACAGAAAAGGGAAGGATTAAGGAATGCATTATGATGTTACAGTCCAGGAGGGTTTGAGAGTACTGTACAAACTAATATGGTCAACTGTGTCCACCAAATTAATGAATATGAGTACAGGCCAATTGGAGGAATGGTAATAGTTCTGCTAATTAATGAATATGAGCAAAAAAATCTGACAAATACTGTATATGAACTTAATAAATAAGAAACATTAGTGTAGTTTTTATCATTTCTTGTACCTTAGATGGGAATGAATCTGGTAGCTCCAGTAACTGTTCGAAGATGTTCAGGTAATGAGGGTCAAATTTGTCTTCTGGAAAGAGGTGGATCTGGCGGTGGGAGAAGCGTGACTTTACTCTCTTCTCCAGGAGCTCTATTACATCCAGACGACAAGTCAGACCCAACACGCAGATTGGTGCCTGCAGGTTCAATCTCGTAAAAACTTAAGGGGCAAATTAAGAGTTGTCAATAAAAATGATAATAAAATGACTTGAAAAACAAAAAGAGGAATCCTATCTCACAGTGAATGACAAAACTATCTTCCCAGTTTCATCTGATGGTTTTTTAAAGCTGGCAAAATATAATCAAACATTTACCTCAGCTACATATGAACAGTACCCCAGTACCCTAGGTAGCATGATTCATCTGAAATTACTAGCTCTGAGTCTCTATACAAAACATAAGCATCCCAAAGTGGTTAATGTGGTAAATGATATATTTCACAGTACAAACCTCATAATTCATACCCAATTCAAAATCACCAATAATTCATATATATATATATATATATATATATATATATATATATATATATATATATATATATATATATATATATATATATATATATATATATATATATATATATATATATATATATACCCAATTCAAAATCACCAATAATTCATAATATATATATACAGTAGAAGTCCAAAAATCCGGACTGCTTGGGGATTGGGTCGGTCCGGATTTTCGGATTTTCCGGATTCTCAGGCAGTACTTTTAAAATTCAAATTTAATGAAGAATAAAGAAGAAATGAACAGGTACATTTTGATAGTTTATTCATTTGCAAATATAACATGCTTCATTTATCAAAACGAGCAGTTTTAATGAAAAAGCTGTGAATTCTAAATTTTATTCTTTGCCTTTTATATATCATAAATTGTAGACTTTCCAATGTCGTATGTTTCCATTAGAACAGTATTGCTCACACCACAATCTAGTTTCTTAATTATTTCAAGTTTGTCACTCAATTTCAATGTGTTCTTCTTTCTCTTCATACAACGAAGTTTATCTACTTTAGGAGCCATTATTATGGGCTTGTACAGTACTCTGTAAATGGAAAGAGTAGGACTCAAAATATTGTTATATTACAATGGTATTCTATTCATACTGTGCTTGATATAATGCATTCACGGAAATGTAATATTTTTGCTGAACGTACGTATTACAGTGGAAAGTGGGATAAAATCGTGATGAAAACAATGACTTTCGCTTTCTTTCGTTCAAAAGATGTTACCTTCGCTTTCTGTTCCAAAGATGTTACCGTAATCGCTTTTCGATTGGTTTTCAGTTAAAAAACTGTTGTATTACAATAATATTCTATCCTAATTGACTTGAATAAATACTACGATACCATATTTCTGAATATTTTCATTAAAATCCATCAAAATCATTTTCCTTGTCATCGTCTGCAGCACCAAACAGCTTCTCCCAGTCCTCTCTTTGAACAGGGCTAGAGGGTACGTGTTTTTCGAATCGTTTTCAGTTAAAAAACTATTACATCACTCGTCTATTTTACCTAAACTGCGCCTGAATGAATATATTCTCGGAAATAAATAGTAGTTTTGCTGAAACGTGATGTATTTCAATGTAAAATAGGATAAAATACATGACGAAAACAAAAGACTTTACCTAAGCTTCCGATGTTCTTGAGATGTTACTCGTTTTTTTAATAGTTTTCGGTTAAAATTCTGTTATATTACAATGATATTCTATTCATACTGTGCTTGATATAATACATTCACGGAAATGTAATATTTTTGCTGAAATTACGTACGTATTACAGTGGAAAGTGGGAGAAAAGCGTGACGAAAGCAATGACTTTCGCTTTCTTTCGTTCAAAAGATGTTACCGTAATCGCTTTTTGAATGGTTTAGTTAAAAGACTGTTGTATTACAATAATATTCCCTCCTAATTGACTTGAATAAATACTTGAATGGAAATATACAATATTTTTTTTTAAACTACCCGCGTTTCAGTGTAAAGTGTCGTAATAATAAATGGTAAACAATTTGCATTCGGCACTCGTATTTCATGCACGGCGAGCCTCAGTTTATAGGACGTAGAGCGTTTTTAGTGAAGGTTTTGTTGTTCCATTACCCTCAAAAACGTGGGTCGAACTATAAACGAGGAATATCGTAAATTAACAATTTCTTGGTCAAAAAACCAGGGTCGACTGATAGGTAGATAGGCAGTTTTTTTTTTTTACTTATCTGAATTATTATTTATTACAGGAGTATTAAATTTTTGCCCTCAGGCCCCAATGTGGAGTCAGTGACCTATGCCCGGTGGGCTAATCAGCGGAAATAGGTTTGTTTACATCCGGCAGTTGACTGCTCTCTCTCTCTCTCTCTCTCTGCTTGTCTATACAGAGTACAACATTTAACCTTCAATATATATGAGCAGTAAATAAGTGTTGCTTTCATATTCTTATGTAGAGTAATGACGATATATTTTCATGTCTTTACATACGAGCAGTCTCACTTTTTTTTACCATTAATGGTTAGCTACTTATATTGTTCCATTTATTAACATTAAATAACATTACAGGTACTTCAGCAACCATATTAATTTTTTACATTAATTTTACTACAGCTAAGGGATACAGCTAAACTCAGGGTCTTATTTGCTATTCAGTTTTATATGTAGAACCAATCAGTCACTGGTTTAAATAACTTTAACATAAATAATGCCGGCCGCGTCTTGTCTCTCTAATATTCACGTGGTATTAATAAATTGTATTGTTAATTTTGCACCGTACATTAATTCAATAAAACAAATTCCATGTAGAACCAATCAGTCACTGGTTTCGTATGCTTTAACATAAACAATGCCGCAGCCGTCCTTTGTTCTCTAATATTCCACTTATATTAATAAATTGTATTGTTAATTTTGCACACACGCATTAATTCATAAAAACAAATTCAGAAACATTAATTAAAAATATATAATGAACAGTAAATATGTTGTTTATATTCTTATGTAAAGTAATGACGATATAGCCACGCAGCGCATGCACACTTACATATGCAGATCTCTTTTCTTTACCATTATTTTGCTACTTATTGTTCCATTTATTAACATTAAATAACATTACTTAAAACAACCATATTAATTTTACTATACAACCAAGGTCTTATTTTCTTCAGTTTTATATGTAGAACCAGTCAGTCACTGGTTTTGTAAAATCCACGAAAACAATGCTGTGTCATTTTCGTGTGTTTTAACATTCTACGATTATTAATGAATTGTATTGCTCATTTGCACACATAAACATTAATTCAATAAAAAGACAATCAGTAATAAACAATAATGAATCTTTTGTACATAAAGAGAAATGACGCTGTTTACAACGACATGCATGTCGCCCAACGCTATGGCTGGCTCAAACCTGGCCGAAATTCAAGTTTCCACGGCCAAATTTTTTATTTATTTATTTTTTGTGTTCCAATAAAATACGTTAAGAATTAAAACTCCCGAAATTTGAGAAGCTACTCATACGACATTTAACCCTTCAATATGTCTTCAAAGAGGCCATGACGGAAAAGTGGTGCTAGTGCTTCCAGGCATAAGCACAAGTCACTATCTATCCAGGAAAAGGGTGAATTTCCATGGTCCCACTTCCATGGTTCGGCACCGTCAGGTCCCAGGTTGCCGGACTAGAGGTAATAATATATATATATATATATATATATATATATATATATATATATATATATATATATATATATATATATATATATATATATATACTATATATATATATATATATATATATATATATATATATATATATATATATATATATATATATATATATATATATATATATATATATATATATATATATATATATATATATATATATATATATATATATATATATATATATAAATACCTGTATATATATACTGTATATATAATTTTTGTAATACCCTATACAGTATTTGGTAAAATTTCGGATTGTAGGATATTTACGTATACTGTATTGTATATGCTGATAACTACAAGGAAAGAAGAAAAAACGAAGTTCCCAAGAACTCCCCCAACAACACAATTGGTTGCATTTATAAAGTTCCTTGCAAGGAATGTAATATGTTTTACTTAGGCCAGACAGGTAAAGATCTTGTAACTAGACTTAAACAACATAAATATAGTGTTAGGACAGGCCAGGAATCCAATGCTCTGGTTGTTCATTTGAGGGATAACAAGCATTGCATTGACTGGGATAATGCCTCCTCAGTATTACCTTGTAATTCAACTGATAGTAGGAACATCATAGAATCTAGTCTCATTAAACATACCGAAGCATTCAACATGAATTTGAGTAACGGCATGTACAAGCTGGACAATTTTGTAATTAAGAAGATTTGTAACCAGGTGAGAAGGTCGGGTCACCTGACCATCTGACCTGACCACCAACCGTTGTGTGCTATTTAAAGATTAGTAGGGTCATTACCTAATACCTGACCATTGTGGACCTGGTCTCACCCTCCTCTGTATATATACACCTTGGTTTGTATTTCTCTTTAGTCTGTACTCACCCCTGAAGATGTGAATTACACGAAAGCGCTTGGGAACTTCGTGTTTTCTTCTTTCCTTGTGGTTATCAGCATATACCTAGATCACACGCACCTACAGTGATTTACTTGCATACTGTATTGTATATATGATGCACATGTTGCCATGGGATGCAGCTGCCCGCCTCAGTGTAAACAAGTACTATATGTATCACGCATGTCGGTCAGTTGTGGAGTGCACATCTACGGTCTACCACGCAAGCTTTTTCCACTTGTTTTTCCATCATTGCCCAGTGTTTTATTTTTTCCCTTGGGAGACGGTCTCGCCTCATATTTCGTAAAATCTCATTATTTGTAAGGGCTAGAGCCCCAATTATTTTGAATTATTGGGGTTTTACAGTGGTCCCTCGGTTAACGAGCACAATCCATTCTAGAAGGTTGCTCATTAACCGAAAAACTCGTTAACCGAAACCCTTGTTTCAATGGGTTTTTGGGTAATTGGTTCCAGCTCACCGAAAATTGCCTAAATTCAACAAAAAAGGTAGAAAAGTACACTTACTTTGAGGTGTGTATGTAGAAGGCTCCTGGATGATAATGATGATGATGGGAATTAGAATGGGGGTGGAGGAGAAGGGAGAAGAGAAAGCATTGGGGTAGAAGAGAAGTCACCCCATGGCGCCATTTCACCCATAAAATTTTAAGTTCTCTTGGTGTAATTTAAGATTATTTTCTTTAAATCAACAGTGCACTGCATTATATATTGTCAATATGTAAAATAAATTTCAAAATGACCAATAATTTGCTCGCAAACACAGAAAAAAAGCATTTAGTTGAAGAGAGTCTCAAGCAAGATGTTACCTCCACTGAAAAGACACAAAAGACTGACGCCTGTATGCTGTGTTGGCAGGCTGGATGGCGTGCCACAAACTAGTGACCCTACCTTCAATTATGTTCAATAATTGTTAAAATGACTAAAAAATTTAATACTAAACTTTTAAAATTATTGAATAGTATAAACTTCTTGAAATTTACTAAAAGGGTAAGGAATTTAAGGCCTAGAACCGATTACTGTATTGGCGGACTAATACTACAGCTGGGGGACCGCCAAATGCAAGCGAAAACATGTGGAGGTCGGCTCTTAAGAAACTCGTTAATCGAGGGATTGCTCGTTAACCGAAGTTAAGAATCTTATGGAAGGTAACTTGTTAACCGAAATCTCGTTAACCGAGGCGCTCGTTAACCGAGGGACCACTGTACTAGAGATTTTTTCCTATGGCCTCCAACCTCCCTTATAGCCAAACCTTCTCCATCAATTTATTACCTATCTTAATACAAAGGTACAGTATTTACCCTACCTGAGTTAAATTATGCACCTGTAAACTCAGGATCACCCTCTCCAGACCCACTAACTATTCAAAAGTTTCCCAGAGAGCATGTTAGAAGGCTCGAGTTTTTCGCGGTATATTTACCCAAAAATGGGGAGATAGTTTTGTCGTTCATTGTATACAACACATAACAAATACATTTTGGAGGATCTAGTTTCATATATATTCACATAATGATATAGAGTAATATTAATTAAAAATGGATAAAATCTGACAGTAATACCTCTTTGAACACAGATGCATACAAAGCATAAAAAGAGGAACACGGCACTAATGGGCAAGAGAGACAAATGTCCCACTTATCCCTATTAAATGATAATCATAATTTCAATATTTCTGACCCTTGATTTTCTAAAAGATGTACTTTACAGTGCTTTAAGAACTTGCAAGCATATTTGAGCAAGTATGCACAGAGCAGTGATTATATATCTACTGTATGTACTGTATATTGGAGCATGGCTTATTTAATTTTTGTAATTAATTCTCACAAAATAAAACATTATTAGAATGCCTCTGGTAAATAAGGAAAAAACTGTAAAATTTTAATAACTTGACATTGAATCCAGTGACCCCAAAATGAATAGGTAACTTCCACTCCCCTCTATAGGAACACAGCAAAAATACTTCATATGTAATTAATAGAGGAAATTTAGTGAAGACTGCAAATTACATTGAAACTGGATGATCCCTTACAATGCCACACAGCTACAATAGTTATGCATCATGTGAGTGAATAAAGATTGTTATATTATGAAATAGGTTTGCCAGAAGCAAGGATAAATTTATACCCTTCCATCATTTAGTATCTCTAAATGCTGCAACAGATATGTCCTGCTATGGTGCTTCTCTTTAGTTAACACTGAACAAAAAAAAAAAATACAAAATATGGATAAGTCTTACAGTGGGTATGTTTCTTTTGTTTAGAAATGTTTTACCTACCTGTGCAGACTGGGCAACATCAAAGAGGTTGTACAGAAGTGTTTGGTTGCGATGATGGCAGAACAGATCAAATTCATCCAAGATAAATATGACAGGTTTGGATGTTTCTTTACTTCCACAGCGGAGAGATTCCAAAAGAAAGGCTAAATTTTCTGGGGAGAGAATCCATTACCAGGAATTATTTGTTGTAATGGCAGTCCAAGAATTAACAAGTTCTTGGTGTCACTTCAACTAACCACAATTGTAAATCAAAGACCATCCAAGCAGCTGTGAATCTATTCCACAAACTGTTACCATATCAGGGTAAATATTGATTTTTTTTTATGGGGAATAGTCCACCCAGGCGCAGGTCATCGACCCACAATGCCTTGGGGGCGAAAAAATAAGAGTAAAAAGAAATTAGAAATATAAAAGAAAAAGATTATATTAATCTACACCACGAAGATGCCGGAAAACCAGCTTTTTAAAGTGAGACATTGTATGAGTATTGAAACAGAAGAAGGCAGAGCGTTCCACAGTTTGGCTGTGTGAGGAAAGAAGGAATACTATAATGGGTTATTATAGTGTGACCGACAGCCACAGAGAAACAGTGGGCACTGCGAGCAAGACGAGTGTTACGAGCCCACGGCCTTGCCAGCAATACACAGGATGCCAAATCTACCGAACAATGCCCGTTAAAGTACCTGTAAAAGAAAGAGAGTGAAGCAACATTGTGGCCAAGAGAAAGGGAAGAAGGATTATCAACTGAAGGAGGAGAGTCAATAAGATGAAATGCCTTTGATTCCACTCTATCTAACAGTTGGACAGAAGAAGAGCCACCCCAGATATGAGAGCAGTACTCCAAGTTAAGATGAATAAATCCCTTATAAACTTGAAGCAACTGCTTAGGAGTTAAGTAACTACGGCATCTGTACAGCATTCCCAACTTTTGGGAGGCAGCTTTAGCCATGTTGTGGATGTGTGGCTTCCATTACATATTAGAGGAAATGGCGAGGCCTAGCAAATCTATTTTAAAACTTGGCAGAATAATTGTGCCCTGAAATGTGATTGGTGGGAGATCATATAATTTGAAAAGTGTAATTGGTAAATACTAGTGATGCTGTTACCATAAATTAATGCAGTCATCACAAGAAACTATCTTATGTCATCATTTTTTTAATCCCTGAAAACCCTACATGTTAACAATGTACATGGCAACAAATGGTCAACCTTGATGCCATTTCCACCCAAAGTTTATCATAAGGATCTTGTTACATGTCCACCAAATTTACCAAATTTTATGAAAATCTACAAACCCATTCTCAAGTTATTTTAAACATACAACCAAAAACGATGCCCTGACTGGTAGCAGGATAATTATTTTTAATCTGTTCTTCTTATACTTCAAAATTGGGACTTGCATTTTCAATATTCCCTCAACTTTATGGCAAACAAATGAAATATTGATCATCAAACAACCTAATTAACTTCAGTGTTGAACAAGGACACAAAAATAGCTGAGTCCAAGGAAGGTCAGCAAGTTACAAAATCACTAACTACAGACCAGTGCACATATATTAAATAATATAACATTACTAACCAGCAAAAGAACCAAACACTTTATTAGCAGTTGCATTCTCCAGTTTCAGCTGGCAGGTTATCTCTTTGAGGGCCAGCCTGTCATCTGTCTGCAGGAGTCCCGACAGTCTGACAACCACTCCCTCACCCAGTGTGCCTGAAGCCTCCAGCTTCTCTATTACAGTATTTACCAGCTGTAATAATGGTAATTAAATTAATCGTACTTAATACCCTGTACTGTATTCACATGGTATAATGGTGCTACATCAATCACATACCCAAAGAATAAATCCTTTTACTAAAACTTCCTTTATCTATCACACTTCCTAACTAAATTGGTAAGGAATAGGGTAAGTCCACCAAGAAATTAAATTCATTTACCCTGAGGCTAACTGGACTATTTTACACTTAACATATACAGTCAACCCTCGCTTTACGCGGTCCCACTTTACGCGTTTCCACGTTTACGCGGTACCCTGCCGAACACGGAATGCTCACTTTCCGCGGTGTGTGTACCCTTTTACGCGGAAAGCGGAGCGAGCAGGGTGCGCACAAGGTCGCCCAGTCATCAAAACATTACCGAGTTCTTCACCCGCCACCCACCACAGCCGGCCCAAGTCAGTGATAGTGATAATGATAGTGAGGATATGGACTTATATGGACTTTGAGGGGTTTGACAAAGAGGCCCTGCAAGCCTCTGTGGTGGATAGTGATACAATTGATACAGGTGAGGGCCAATAATCTGTCCTCTGCCTCGGAACCAACCCCCCATCCCTGTGTGCCCTTAATTATTAATTGTGTGTGCATACCATCATAAAATTAAGAAGTTATTTTTACTACAACGTAGGTATTGTGTCTGAAAAAGTGGAGTTTGGGGGTCGGCCAGGTCTCTATTTCAATTACTAATCCCATATGTTATGTTGTTCACTTTAAGCGTTTCTCACTTTACGTGGGCCGCCGTGGGTTCAATTGACCGCATAAAGTGAGGGTTCACTGTATTAATTTTTTATAGAGTGTGTGTAAACTTTTTAACTAAGTTCTAAGGACTCACAGATGATTTGCCCATGCCCCTTGCAGCAAGTACAAGGGCTGAGTTGCTCTCTCCCAGGGTGAGTGTTCGGGTCATGAGGTCCTTCAGGTGCTGCGCTTCCTCACTATACAAAGATTTTAGCCTTTTACCTGCAAACAATAAACATAAAATACCATGATTTGTTATTATTAACATTAGGAATTTTATTTTACAAGTACGTATCATGCATTTGGTAATTTTTTACTTATATAGTTTTAGATTGTACAGTACAGTACAGGTACAGTCAACCCTCACTTTAAGCAGTTAATTCAACCCACAGGGTACCACGGAAAGTGAGAAACGCGTAAAGTGAACAACATAACATATGGGATTAATTGAAATAGAGACCGGGCCGACCCCCAAACTCCACTTTTTGACAACACACAACTATGTTGTAGTAAAAATTTTATCTTAACTTTATGATGGTATGCACACACAATTAATATTTAAGAGAAATATCAATAATATTAGGTTTTTTAACACTTACATTAGTAGAAAAGATGGCTGGGCACACGGGGATGGGGGGTTGGTTCCGAGGCAGAGGGCAGATTATTGGCCCTCACCTGTATCACTTGTATCAATTGTATCACTATCCACCACAGAGGCTTGCAGGGCCTCTTTGTCAAACCCCTCAAAGTCCATATCCTCACTATAATTATCACTCACTGACTTGGGCCGACTGTGGTGGGTGGCGGGTGAAGAACTCGGTAATGTTTTGATGACTGGGCGACCTTGTGCACACCCTGCTCGCGCCGCTTACACAACATGGCGGATGGCGGGAGAGGGCGGGAGGTTTGGATCCAAAAATGGCGCGGCTCGCCAGCCGCTCTCCGCGTAAAGGGGTACACGCACCTCGGAATGTGAGCATCCTGGTTTCGGCAGGGTACCGCGTAAACGTGGAAACGCGGAATGTGGGACCGCGTAAAGCGAGGGTTGACTGTATTCAGTTTACATGATGTTTTTTTTCAAATATTTTGTTATTTCTTTCATACAGTACTGTATTATCTTTTGTAATTCTTTTGTATTATTATTTCAGCATATTTGCATAGCCATACTACACAGATTAAGTTGCCTCTCACCAACCCAGAAACAAACAGTAAACCTAAATAAACAAACACTGATAATGGAGACAATGCAACCAGCTGTGTCAGACAGCCTAAACTCTCTCAATATTATTCAAAAGAGTGGAATAAACATACAGTAAACTCCCTCCAACCCATAGTCACTTAATCTGGATCCCCTTGCAAACCAGTATCAAACAATTTGTTTTCTTTTTTCTTTTTATGGGGAAAAGCCCACCTGGGTACAGGTCATTGACCCACAACCGGGAAATAAAAAAGAAATAGAGGAAAAAAGGAGTTTGTTAATCTACACTATGAAGATGCCAGAAAACTAGCTTTTTGAAGTGTGACAGATCATAAGAAGATGGAAAGGAGGTGGCATTTACCGTAACATTCCATAATCCAACCACGTACAGGTTAACACTAACTGCTCAAATTTTAAAAAAATTTGACCAATATCCTTAACCAGCTTATAAAGAAGTACCCTTGAATGAAATTTTAACAAAATCTACATCTTGACCTCGGCATTCTCTATAAGCCAAAATAGAAATACTGTACACAAAACTACAAACATCTACATGCATGCTTAGCAATAAACCATGGCCACATTATGTACATGGCACCCTTATGATAAGGATTTCTGAATCTGGTTTCAAATGGCGACATAAAATGATAAAGATCTAAACCTTTTAACCAATCCACTAACTTAGCTGTCCAAGAAGGTTTATTCCTCACTCGGACATAAATAAAAAAAATTAAAACTCATATGCCTGATAAAATTTGAGTCAGAACCTGACTTTAACATCTTTTTCACCACAGAATTTGAAGACACTTTGAACCCTGATACTGTGAAAAAAGTTTCAGGCCAAATGGTCCCCAATTAAATATAAACATTAGAATTGTGACCAATTTGGATTAGGGTCCATTAGAACTGGACCAAAAAAAAAAAAAAATTATAAATACAGTAAACAAAATTAATAAATATTGAAGTGATAACCGTGGTAACATTATGAGATGTTCTTATTACCACCATGCTATTGTACTATTCCAGATGATACTAAATGTTACATAATACTTCCTTGAGATAAATGTATAGTATATATTATCAGGTGCCTAAAAGAGAGCTCAGGTTCTCGACTGGCTCAGCCATGTTAATACAGTGGTCCCTCGGTTAACGAGCACACTCCGTTCTAGAAGGTTGCTCGTTAACCGAAAAACTCGTTAACCGAAACCATTGTTACAATGGGTTTTTGGGTAATTGGTTCCAGCTCACCGAAAATTGCCTAAATTCAACAAAAAAGGTAGAAAAGTACACTTACTTTGAGGTGTGTATGTAGAAGGCTCCTGGATGATGATGGGAATTAAAATTGGGGTGGAGGAGAAGGGAGAAGAGAAGGCATTGGGGTGTAAGAGAAGTCACCCCATGGTGCCACTTCACCCATAAAATTTTAGTTCTCTTGGTGTAATTCAAGATTATTTTCTTTAAATCAACAGTGCACTGCATTATATATTGTCAGTATGTAAAATAAATTTCAAAATGACCAATAATTTGCTTGCAAACACAGAAAAAAATCGTTTAGTTGAAGAGAGTCTCAAGCAAGATGTTACCTCCACTGAAAACAGAGAGACTAACGCTTATTTGGTGTGTTAAAAGGCTGGATGGCGCGCCACAAACTAGTGACTTTACCTTCAATTATGTTCAATAATTGTTAAAATGACTAAAAAAATTTAATATTAAACTTTAAAAATTATTGAATAGTATAAACTTCTTGTTATTTACTAAAAGGGTAAGGAATTTAAGCCCTAGAACCGATTACTGTATTGGCGGACTAATACTACAGCTGGTGGACCACCAAATGCAAGCTAAAACATGTGGAGGTCGGCTCTTAAGAAACTCGTTAATCGAGGGATTGCTCGTTAACCGAAGTTAAGAATCTTACGAAAGGTAACTCGTTAACCGAAATCTCGTTAACCGAGGGACCACTGTATTGTTAATATTACGCACTCTGTATCTGTGTTTTTCTGGCTAAATAAACTGTTTCAATTCAATTCAATTTCAATTAAAATTCTAACAGTTACGTCACTTGTCATGCAAAATACTAAAGGTTCCTCACCTACTGTGCTATGCACAACTTTGGATCACCATAAGTCAATCTAGAAACCTGAAACAAGTCATACTTTACAGGGATGGATCTACCACCAACAGTCCTCCTTATCTCTCACCAGCTTCCTTGGTAGTTCCCCAAAGGCGTAGGTTCAGTCTCAACTGCTTCTGAACCTCTTTCATAAGGTCAGGATCTGATCGGACAGGAGACTTCTGTCGCTTCAGCCCCATGGTGACAAGCTGTTCTCAGTGTTTCAGAAGTGTAAACCTTGAAATCTGAAATAAAGAATGACTATTATTGATTAATTATAAAATCTTATATTTTCAAAGGTTCAACTCCAGTAATATTTTTCAGTCTCCTTGTTAACAATTTCCATTAAATGAATAAAAACAAAGTATGAAAAAATATACCCCAGCTATATAGTGTATATACCTGTATACAGTAGCTTGGTACTGGGCCTGATGTCACATGAGATTTTCATTAATTCACACTGAATCCTACATTACGTAACCCGATAACTGCGGGTAAGTGATTCACCGATCAACCCCCCCAGTGCGCAAAAAATAACATGTAAGTACTATTGTATACAGTACAGTGACCCCTCCGTTAACAAACTCAATCCGTTCCAGAAGGTCGTTCGTTAACCGAAACCATTGTTTCAATGGGTTTTGGGTAATTGGTTCCAGCTCACTGAAAATTTCCTGAATTCAACAAAAATGGTAGAAAAGTTCACCTACTTTGAGGTGTGTATGTAGAAGGCTCCTGGATGATGATGATGGGGTTTAGAATGGGGGTGGAGGAGAAGGAAGAAGAGAAGGCATTGGGGTGGAAGAGAAGTCACCCCATGGCACCATTTCACCCATAAAATTTTAGCTCTCTGGTGTAATTCAAGATTAGTTTCTTTAAATCAACACTGCACTGCATTATATATTGTCAATATGTAAAATATATTTCAAAATGACCAATAATTTGCTTGGAAACACAGAAAAAAAGCGTTTAGTTGAAGAGAGTCTCAAGCAAGATGTTACCTCCACTGAAAACAGAGAGAGACTAACTCCTGTTTGCTGTGTTAAGAGGCTGGATGCAGCGCATTAAACTAGTCACTTTACCTTCAATTATGTTCAATAATTGTTAAAATGACTAAAAAATTGAATATTAAACTTTTAAAATTATTGAATAGTATAAACTTCTTGATATTTACTAAAATAGTAAGGAATTTAAGCCCTAGAACCGATTAATGTATTGGCGGACTGATACTAAAGCTGGTTGCCCGGTCAGTGCAAGCGAAAACATGTTGAGGTCGGTTCGTAAGAACTTCGTTAACCGAATTTTTTTTCGTTAACCGAATTGAAGATCCTAATGGAAGGCAGTTTGTTAATCGAAATTACGTTAACCGAGGTGTTCGTTAAACGAGGGGTCACTGTACTGTATAAATTTTCCCCAAACATCATTTTAACTCTTGTGGATTAAAAGATATTATGTACAGTCGGGGTCAAAAGTCTTGAACACTTAGCAATATCTGACATCTACTTCTGAGTTATACCTGTACATACAGTCAGTCCCCAACTTATGACGGGGTTAAGGAACGACGACCAGGTCATAAGTCGAATTGGTCGTAAGTCGAAAATGCGTAAATAATATAGAAAATCTAAAATGGGTGTCTCTTTTTCTTCTCAGCACCACGAGAACTCTCACTTTTATGCTTGCCAGCCATTTTAAAGGGAATTACAAACAAAAATTTTGTCAGTTCACAGCGCGATCACTAACGTCAGGACTAAAAAATACGCAATTTTAAATTTTTTTGTAAGACTGCGGCGGTCGTATGTTCGGGTGGTCGTAAGTTGAGTAGGTCGCAAGTCAAGGAGTACCTGTATATGATTGGGATATACTGATAACACCACTTGTCATCACATATTATGCCTGAACCACAAAATAGGATAAAACTCTCCTTAATACCAAAGATCTTCGGGTACAGTACTTGTAGGTTATGCATATAAGCTACTGTGCCGAGTAGCATTTATATATATAATTACGTGGCAACACTGCACGTGTTATGTGGCAACATTGCCCCGAGGCTGCCATATGGCAAGGCAGTCTCAGTCTGACTGTGTGAGCCGTGCATGGCACACGCTAGTCACCACTTGTATTTCTCTCATCCATAATAAACGGACTTCAGTGTTACACGGTGTTTCCCTACCCATCACTGCATTCTTCAGGGCACACTAGTAACTTTCATGGCGCAGTGTCTAGGATCTGTGGACTTACAAAGTGTGTGAACAATGCCGACAGTTACGTCTGCCGGTGATGCGCGTCGACTCATAGTGTGTTGTGTTGTGTTGCGCTGTGTTTCGCCGCGATGTGCAGTGTTGGGCCGTCACAGTGCGTTTTAGTGACGGTGGCAGTGTTAGTGTCAGTGTATTAGTGTGTGTCTAGAGCTGAGTTGAGCATTGGCCTGTTTTTTTGTGGTACCCACGGAGCACGCAGGCGTACACCCTTCTCGTGCGACATCCGGGGGACACTGACGGTCTTGCCGGACCACGCTCCCTCCGCTCTCTCAGACACACACGCACGCATGCACGCACTCACTCACTCACGGACAGAACAGTGGACCTGGACCATATGCGTGATTTTTGCGCTGTTTATGTCATATATATGTGGTTCGAGCTGTTGAGGCGCCACTTTATATACTAAACAGTGCAGTCCACGCACACACAAAGATGGGAGGCAAGAAGGGACAACGTCAAGATGGGAGACACGACTCCCCACCACCTTCTCCTCCACCGGGCACAGACTCTCATCCTCCACCTCCAGTGACGGACATTGCCACAATTCTGAGGTGGATGGACGACCGGGACGAGAGACGCAGAGAGATGGAACTTCAGAGGGAGGAGACACGAAGAGAGGAGGAAAAGTTGCGTTTTGAGGCACTATTGGCGACCCTGGCGCTATCCCACCCTCCCTCACTCGCAGGTGGCGCGCTTCAAGGCGCCAGTACACTCCCTCCTCCACCACACCAGCGTCCTCCAGGTACTCTTGCCTCCAAACAAACAGCTCCCAAGGCATCTGTTCAACCCCCACCCGCCCTCTCACCAGACGTCACGTTTCAGCTTTTTCGTGAGTGGAGGCGGCGTTGGACAGATTACTCCACGATGGTGGACCTTGACAGCATGCCTCCAAACAAACAGCTCATCCAACTGCGGATGTGTTTGTCGCTGGAGACCCAGAGAGTTTTGGAGCACACGTTGCAAGTGCCTCCCGATTCTACCTCTTCAGTGACGGATGTGCTCGACCTTTTACAGGAGCATGTTAAGGGTCGGAATAACGAGGCTTTGCGTCGCCGCGCCTTCACCAGCTGCAAGCAGGCGGAGAACGAATCCTTTGACGACTTTTTTGTACGCTTGAAGAGTTTGTCAGAGGAGATCGACGTCTGCAAGGCGCACAGCCGGGAATGTGAGGAAGCCTGGATCAAGCACGGGATCTTGGCAGGTGTCAGGCAGGAAGAGTTGGTGCAGCGACTCATCCCCCTGGACGCTTCCTCCACACTCCAGGTGGTAGTGACTGAATGTCGGTCATACGAGGCCACCAAGTCCGCCACCTCTGCCTTACGGGCCCCTCCTGCTGTGAGAGCAATCTCTCAGTACAAGAAGGGTAAGAAGGCGGCCAACAACGCGAAGGCTGCCACACGTTCTTCCACGCCTCCGCCTAGTGCTTCCTGTGGCAGCTGTGGAAAGCAGCATGCCCCAAGACATGCCCGGCCGCCGACGCACTGTGTCGTGGATGTGACCGTAAGGGCCACTGGTCTAACACAGACAGGTGCCCTGCACGAGGCCGCAAGTGTCAGGCCTGCGGTCGCTATGGACACTACGACAAGTGCTGCCGCCAACCCAAGCCCAAAAGCCCGAGACGAGGAGGAAAGCAGCGCACTTCCCTCGGGGTGGTTCGCACGCAGCCCCCTCCAGATGGCCCACGCAGCCCCAAGCAGCAGCGGAGTCACATCAGGAGGGTGGAATCGACCACACGCCCCAGGGCTACCCCTTCCCCTACCATCCGCGTCGCCGTCACACACGGTGATGTGTCGGGTCACATCGAGGTGATACCGGACACCGGCGCTGATACTACGGTGATTGGGTTGAAGCACCTCCAGAAACTGGGCCTCACCAAACGCGACCTGGGACCACCGCCGCAGCTGCAGTACTACAATGCGGACGGTTCCCAGATGCCAGACGCTGTGGGCTCCTTTCAAGCAGAGATCACCTACGGCGACAGGTCGTGTCATGGATGGATCGACGTGCAGCCTACTCTCGCTACACCCTTGTTGTCGTGGGAGCACTGCAAGGAGTTAGGCGTGGTGCCCAGAGACTTTCCCGAGCAGATCCCAGCTGCTCGGTACACCGCCAGCAGGGTGCGTGAATCAACGAGCGACGCGCCTGGCGCTGCCACACGGAGCTGCCCAGAACCCGCGTCCACTCCCACCCACACAGGACGCTCCCCTGCCCAGATCCTGTATGGTCACCCTCTCCGCTCTTGCGTTCCTACACACGCCAAGGCCTTTGCGAAGGACTGGCAGACCAGAGCCGAGAGCTGTGACCGCCGCGCCGCTTCACGTGCCCAGGACGCCAAGGCTCGGTATGACGACCGTGCCCGCCCTCTTCAGCCAGTGGAGATTGGTGCCCTTGTCCGCGTCCAGGACCCGACGACGACACGTTGGGACAAGGTGGGCATAGTGATGGGCGTCGGCCGGTCGCGGGACTACAAGGTCAGGATGCCGAGCGGCCGTGTCTGGTGGAGGAACCGCCGCTTCCTCCGGCCAGTCCCACCCCCTGCTGCTGGCCCCCTGACCGAGGACGAGTCACCTACACCTCACGAGGATCCGCCCCACAGTGCACCTCGACGCTCGGAGCGACTTAGGACTAAGAAGTCCGCTCAAGACAAAGACTATGAGCGTGAGGGGGGAGGGAGATGTAGGTTATGCTAAGCTACTGTGCCGAGTAGCAACCTTGTATATACTAGTAGCATTTATATATATAATCGTGGCAACACTGCACGTGTTATGTGGCAACATTGCCCCGAGGCTGCCATATGGCAAGGCAGTCTCAGTCTGACTGTGTGAGCCGTGCATGGCACACGCTAGTCACCACTTGTATTTCTCTCATCCATAATAAACGGACTTCAGTGTTACACGGTGTTTCCCTACCCATCACTGCATTCTTCAGGGAACACTTGTAACCATCAGTACTTACATGTCAAATACTGTCAAGTGTTCAAGACTTTTGACCCCAACTGTACAAGAATGTGGAAACCAATATGAGTCTATTACTTACCTGTGTCTGGCCGCCAGTTTCAGATAGGGCAGAAAATGGATTCTCACCTCTATTGCTAACCCCAACACTCAACTTATTTGACAATTTCACTAAGTGTAAATATACCAGTACTTGAAGCTTTCAACACCACTCTCAATGGATCTAGAAAGTTTCAACTTCTGTATATGTCGGTATCTTACAGTAACACATATACATTTATTTGGAATTTTGAATACAGGGTATGTAGGTCCTCAATATATGCAAGGGATGCATTCCTGAAACCCCTCGTATAAACCAAATAGGTACTTTGTTAAATGCGAAAAATTCGGATGTGTTCCATAAACCAAAATGAAATGTTCCACACCCATTTTCAACACAAATTCAGGACATTTAAACCATAAAAGAAATCAATACATTTCCTGTATTTATAAAATAATAGATAAAGCTACAGTGATATCTCTGTTACCTGGAACAATTGGTGCAGAGCAACTTTCGGGAACGAGAAATTTTCGGATAACGAAACGAGTCTCTCAAAGCCGGAAAAAATCCCTCATTTTCAACTCCTGATATCTCAGTTATGGGTAAAATGTGACAAAAGTGTCATAGATGAAACTCGTCTTGATTTTTGTCTTAACTTATCATTAACAACAACAATATTGAATTATGGGTAAAATCGCAATTTGACTACCAATTGAGTTTTTACCAGAATTCTAATTTTTCCCTCGGTATTTTGTGAAATTCGTTTCCATCATAAATCAGTCGATTTTGAGTTATCACTACCCCTTCCAACAATCTTGGTGGACCCATGGGAAATTGAGGATTTTGGGTGGGGGGAGAGCAAAAATGGAAGCTAAGAGGAAGCTTATATTATATAATATAATATAATATAATATAATATAATCTAATCTAACCTAACCCAACCCAACCTAATGTAAGAAAAACCTAATGTAACCAAAACTTAATGTAACAAAAACCTAATGAAACCAAAACCTAACCTAACCAAAACTAACCAAAGCCTAATCTAACCAAATCTAACTTAACCGAGACCGAACCTAACCTAAAGAGAGTTTGTAGAGATAACATGAACTTCTACGTGAATTAACTTCTTGGTTATTATCCACTTGCAATGGAAGTGGTATTAGAAAAGGGTGTTGCAATTGATGAGATATAGTAACTTCCGGTGAACCCAAAATTGCTCTCAACCAAATGGGAGTGAAACTACAATAATACCGAATTATGTCCTCTAATATAAATTGACACTGGAAATAAGAGACTGATAACTTTTATTTTTATCCCCTTTGGCTCATTAGCTGCTTGGGTAGTCGGTCACGTCTCTGTAAAACACTGTTGGCAAGTACTGGGCATGCACCTGTGTTGTCTATATGCATGCTGAACTATATATAAACCTGCAAACGCTGACTTGTGCCCCTGTATAATTACTTTACTGCATAAATATACCAGTATATGATATACTTTCTGAGTGGCGTTTAAAACTTCGGATACTGTTGCAACAATAACCAATAAATTCAACGATCCATTTTGAACGTTTATGTGTAATATTGCTCCCAGTGAAAATGGCATACCTGGTAGTTAATTCAGTAGAAACGGTTAAAATTGACAACAATTCCGTCAGCAAGGCCCAGGAGCAACAACTCCCACCAGTTGTGTTGTGGTGTGAGACTCCCGCCTCATGCCGTCAAGGGGCGGTGTATATAACATTTACGAGCAGAGTATCTTCAATAGAGATTTTCTTTCTGAGAAACATAGATTGATATTTATTCAGAAAAAAATAGTCATATAAGTAACAGACCACGTGGACCATTGTTTTCAGTTGTACATGTTGATTTTTTTTACTTCTGAATTTCAGGTGCAGTATTGCAATTTACGTAAGGTTCAAGATGAGTGCGTTGCCTATTCATAGAATTATTTCGCTTTGAAGAGTTGCTTCTGCTTGGCTTATTGAAGCAATTGTTTGTCTTACATTAGCTATATCCAAGCAGAAAACACATCTACTTTTTATCCTCGTCACCACTGATCGGCTCGTTAGCCGCTTGGGGGGTCGGCTACGTCTCTGTTACACTGGTGCGGGAGAGGTTTGAAGGTTGGACGGGAGAGGTGTATAGTAGTAATAAAGGGCTGGGTTGAACTTGGCACGCTGTAAAGGCGTGGGTGCTTAGTCGCCATAACATCATAATAATAACAACAACGGGGCATAGGTACGTGCTGGTGTTTGTACTGGTGGCGGTGTCGTCCCTTCTTCTTTTCTCTTTTTTTTCCAATGACTTCTCACTTATATCATCTAGGTGTTGTAGTGGATTTCTCCCCTACAAACGCTGTTTGTCGCTGCGTAGCCGTACCCCACAAATGGTGACCCCCGGAGATTCGTACTCACACAGGATGGAGGAGAAACAAATGGTGACCCCCGGAGAATCGCACTCACACAAGATGGAGGAGAAACAGATCACGCTCCCAGTCTTCAAGCAACATGGAAGACTGGCTTATCCACCCAGAAGCAGCTCTCATCGACTCTACAGCTACTGTCTCTAAACCGCAGGTTAGACACCCTAGAGCATCACTGCTTCTCTAAGCAGACACCAGCTCCTCTTCCTGCCCCAAGCACCACGTCCTACCGACCCCACAGTGATGACCTGACCACCGTAGGGTCAAGACCTATTTAGGCGCTGCTCCTGCTGAGCAGCTCTCACCCTTGGCCAATGTTCGGCCCATTCCCCAAGTCCCTCTCCCCGACCCATCCTCACCACCGGGATATCAACATAATCAAAAGTGACATTTCGTTTCGGAAAGAAGTGGAACCAGTGTTGAACAGTTAAGAACAGTGTTTAAGCCAGTGAATTCAGTACTAGACAGTACCAGTGAGAGCCGTGACCCGCCAGTGAGATAAGCACCGCTGGGTACTGACCGCCATCTCCTGACAAGGAGGTGCTAATCAGTCCACCTGAGAACAACAGTGGGTCGGCTTCACACTTGACTTCGAAATAACACAACACCACCCAGTAGGGTGGGGATAGGTCAACAACTGCAAATATGTTGCCTGTATAACAAGTGAACTACCGTGTGTTGAGCACTGTGTCGTGTGTAGGTGTAGGTGCCCGCGAGGCAAGGCCTATACCCTTGTGGTCACGCTCGGCCATGTGGTGAGGGTTTGTTTACACAAACCCCCGTCCTCATAGTGTGCCAAGCTGGTTAGTTCTTTTGAAACTAAAATTGACTTTGATACTGTATCTAACCAGAAAAACAGACATGCTATTAAGAACAAGTGTAGTGTAATAAAAGTGTTTATAAACTGAGAAAACTCCTGTTACCTTAGTCCCCCCGACACCACACTCCCTCCGCGGGAGGCCCGCTCATGGCCTCCCCTCACACCGCTAATACGCGGTACAGTAGATGCCAATCTCCTTTGTCCTCTAAGAGGGTTACGCCTCCCAACCACCGCTGACTTCCTAGGAGTGCCAAGCAGTCCTCGGCCCTCTGACGTAGGCATATAAGTCGAGCCCTGTAACTCCACCATGTCTGAGTTGACTGGAGACCCAGCTGCTCGCTTTAACTCTCCTGATGCACTGAGTGAGCCAGGCGACTGTGGTGTTGACCTTGACACCAACGGAGAAGATGGCTTTCAACTAGTTCAGTCCAGGAACAAGCGGAAGGCCGAAAAGGCAGAAAGACTTAGAGACAATCAACTACAACCACAAACCCCCATGAGAGTAAGATTATACTTCCCTGAAGGTACATCACCTGAAGACAAGTATCTCTGGCTGAACGATGCGGAAGACAAACACCCAGAGGCTGAGTTTCAGTTCAGAGTCGGTACACAAGATCATGTTCTGATTAGAAACGACCCAGCAGTCATACAGGATCTCCTCACCAATAGCATAAGGGGAATAACCATGGAACAATCATCCCAACCACCGAGCAAGAAAACCATAATAATCATAGGGCTCGACCAGTACCAGACCCCTACACTACTAGAAGCCCATCCCTACATCAGAAGGACGAAGCGACTCAGGGGCAAGAATGCAGTCATTGCAGACTGGGTTGGCTCGGAAGACCCACCCAAGACCATTCGAGTCCGTGGTGCCTATCGGACTCTGAAGGTAACACTCTATCAGCCCCCTAACCGGAGGTGTTACAACTGTCAGCACTGGGGCCATGTGGCCCGGTTATGCCCCTCGACTAAGCCGTGGTGTGGTCTCTGCTCAAGGCAACATGCAACACAGGTTTGCAGAGATACAGTTGCTCAAGGGGGTGTCATCCAACAGAAGTGTATTAACTGCAAAACAGTTGGAGTTCCTGTATGGCACCCTAACTGTTCTAGAGCTCCTACACCCCTTCAGCGCCCAGACCCGCCACCCAGGCAGGTCTCAAGAAACACTAATGCTGCTAGGGTACTCCCTACGGCCAACCCCTGGCCTGCCCTCCCCACCAAAGCTCCAGGATCATCACCAGCAGTCATCGAAAGATCAGCATGGGGCAACACAGACGTACCGACACAACAGGTAGCTGCCAACACACTCCCTGCACATCGTGAAGAGATCAATGATTTGAAAAATGAAATTAAAGAACTCAAAGCTCAGTTTACAGCTCTAACTGAAATGTTTGGGAGCCTCTGTGATACACTAAAGGAAAAAAACACCACCAACACAGTGCAGCAACTTCGGAAAAATTACAGTCAAACTGAAGACATTCAGATGTCAGTACCAGATGTGGAAACTCAAGACCCACCAGGAACTAGTGTCCACGCAGAGGAAAATAGTGATACTGGTAACAGTTCTACTGATGCCTCTGTGGACATGGTCAGTGAAGATGAACAAGCACAAACAGAAAATGGTGGTGATGTCGAGTGTAACCAAAGTGTGTTGTTGTCTGCCAATGAAATACAACAATTGTTGAGCCGTACGTGCTCCAGAAATGTTTCCAAAAGGTTAACTGGCCTACTGCCTGCCGAAGGGACAGGCAGCGCAGAAAAGAACAGTATCATACAGTGCCTTTTGCTTCTTTCCAAATACATTTCATAATGGCCAGTGTTAATACCAGACAAAGATACAGAGCGGTGAAGGTGATGAGTTGGAACATCTCATCCCTTAGAAAACGATACCCTGACCTACACCACAAAGTTGTGACTGAGGACATCGATATTGTGTGTCTGCAGGAGTGTCTCACACCTAATGGTAAGCCCCCACCCAGTCTGCCCAATTATGTGTATTATGATCCTAGTTCTACTCACACATGTTTGATGTATGTTAAGAAGTCACTCCCGCATGTACCTCTTGTATCCAAAAAGACTACCAACCTTCAGTACCATGGGATCACTATCCACCTGGGCAACTCCACACTCAACGTGCTAAACGCCTATGCTCCCTCAGATCAGCTTCAATACACAGATCTCCCAGACTTTTTACACACTGAGCCCACTGTCCTAATGGGTGACCTGAATACTAGACACAAGAAATTAGGTGACTCCACCACTAACACCAATGGTAGGAGACTTATCTCACTTCTCAGCGCATATGAAGATGTTCAAATTATAGGTAATAATGAACCAACACACATCTATGGCGGGGGTCTAGACAAATGTATTGGCTTTAATCTATCATACACAACTCATAGCTCTGATGTTGTCACTGATCTTATGTCTGACCACAGCCCAATCCAAGCTAGTATACATGTAGCCAATGACACCCCCACTGGTGGTAAACTCAACAGACGTAGAATCACAGTCAAGCAAGAACATGAAAGCCAGTTCATAGACTTCATCCATGACTGGTACAAGGACTACAAGCCTGACAATTACCAAAGTTTCCATGACGATCTGATAGATAGGACTTATGTATACTTCACCAACAATGCCTCCACCAAAAAAAGGAGAAAACGTGGTCAGCATAATGGGAACAGGCAACAGCAGTGCTATAATGACCCTGAGCTGAAAAAACTCAGGGCTAGGGTCAGGAGGGTGGGTAAGGGTTACAGACAATGTAGAACACCTCAAATGTTACAATTGTATCAAGCTTCCCTTGCTGCTGTCAGGGAACGTGTAAACGAACTCAGACAAAATGCATGGGAGACATATGTCAACAGCCTGAACCAACACACATCCCTCAGCAAAGCCTGGAAAGACATAAACATAATCAGAGGTAAAAACAGAAGACACGTCTCCCATCCAAACCCTCTGCAAAAGTCGAATGAGCTAATAACAAAGTGGGCTCATGTGTCGAGCTATGACATGTTACCAGCTAGGACTCGGGGACTCCTTGATGCGAAGTCTGTAGAGAGAAGTAATCTTATTAGCTTTATGCTGGGCAAACAGCACGATGAGTGTGATGTTCCATATACTGAGTGGGAGCTTGACGCCGCCCTCGCCAGGGGTAGGTCTACTTCCCCTGGAGAGGACGGAGTCACCTACAACATCATTAGACTACTAAGGCGCGTGCCAGGCAATCCATTGTTGGTATTGTACAATATGAGTCATGCCGAGGGCCAACTACCCACATCATGGACCAGCAGTATTGTTGTACCAATACCGAAACCAGGACAGCCTGATGCCTTTCGTCCCATATCACTAACCAGCTGCCTGTGTAAAACCTTTGAGAGGATGGTTCTTGGCAGACTCTTATATAGAATCAGAGAACACATGTCTCCTAACATAAATGGCTTCACCCATGGTAAAGGTGTACATAATTGCATCACCACATTC